ATTCTCTTGGTGATGGTATGTGGGTTCGGTAGCATCAGCAGCAGCATCTAAGAGACCTCGGCCGTAAAGTCTAAAGCCCTGAACTGGATAAGAGCCGGAGGTTGCACAATCTGGGCTTTAGCATACTCTTGTGGCTACCTGGCCGCACATCACCACAAAATCTGTGGGCTTGAGGGCGGAGCTGTCCCGAGCTTTTTTGAGATCAATGAAGAAGCCTCAGTTGTGCGCATCAGGGCTGTGTGGTGACCTTTTTTCCTCAACCCCGAATTACCTACGTTTTTAAGTTTGTTTTTCTAGGAAATCATATGAAAGATTAGGTTACTATTGCAGGACTTGAGAACGTCATGTGACACCGGCGCAGCCTCGCAGGTACAAGAACATCCTTTGCCAACAAGGATCACGACGCGGCGGCGACTTTAACTATGCCCCTTATAAATCGTATACCCAAAGAGCCCTATACCCCGCAGCTGGGTCTAGGGGCCGTTGCTTAGAGCCTCAGCCCCAAGCCTCAACCCTATCGACCGGACCCTAGGACCTAGACTCAGAAGCGCTGTGCGGGCCGGATCATGTTAGGGAACCCCTTCAGAAGCAGGTCTTCTGGACGAAGACTCCTACAACAACACCCCAAACCCTGAACCCCACACACTGAATATCTATGTAAACCCTAAACCCAAACCCCTAAACCCTAAACCCTAACAAACTTTGAAACCCCGAAATCCTGGAAGCAAGTGCTTTTCCATGGTTGCTGAGGGCCTTATCTGGTGTGGGGATGCAGCCTTCAGGGTTTGGTTGGGCTCAGGGTTTAGGGGTTTAGGGTTTAGGGTTTAGGGTTTAGGGTTTAGGGTCTAGGGTCTAGAGTCTAGGGTCTAGGGTCTAGGGTCTAGGGTTTAGGGTTTAGGGTTTAGGGTTTAGGGTCTAGGGTCTAGGGTTTAGGGTTTAGGGTTTCTGATCCCAGCCGCTTTCCCAAAGGCCGAAGAATTCGTCGGAGGATCGCTGCCGGTTGTCCTCTGAAAACCACGATTTCGGGTGTAGGGCCCTATGGTCTACCTTTAATATTTAAGGGATCCCACTGGGAGATTTTGTAAAGGGGGGTCAGCAGGTATTTATGGTTCTACCGTACCTACAAGGGCTTTGCAGGGTTTCTACAAAGGTTCGGTCTAGGACATTTTCAGGTGGGTAGTTACGTTATAGGAGCCTTATAGAAGGTCTATATACCTTATGGAAGCCTGATAGAAGCCCTATATACCCTAAACTCCCCACCTGTAGTTTCCTTTAATTCGGGGTCAGGGGTTAGGTTTTGGGCATTCTAGGGCCCACATTCCGTCAAGTTGAAGGCTCTTCTTTGAGAGGACGTTGCCTTGGCAACGGTTTGTAGGGTTTAGGGACCCTGAACTCTAAAACCCGAAACAGTCCCGGGGTACGCGTTCAAAGTTCACCCCAAACCCTAAGATACAGCGAGGCTTGTAGGGTTAAGGGTTTAGGGGTCGGCTATTTACTGTGACACCCTTCGGCTCAGGATGTCGAATGTACCTATAGCGTTTGGGGTTTAGGGTTGAGGGATAGTATCCATTCTGGCAGCTTTTTTGGGGCTACCTTTTACGATCCTAAGTATCTACCTGGTGAAATCAAAAACAATGGAACTATAATGGATCTTATGGAAATATAGGTATTGTAGCCTTCAAGCAGACGCAGATTTCTGCTTCATTTCACAACCCCTTGATAAGGAGGGCTCGTCAAAACGACCTCGCGAACGCCCTGTGCACCCTATCATATTTTTAATTGCAGGATCCCCATACGATTCTTATCGAGTCTTTCTTTTCGGCAGACACAAACACTCCTGGGCCCGAGATAGCAGTCATGTCAAGAGAGATGACACTAACCGCCATGCTTGCAGCAAGAGCAGAACAAAGTAATTTGGAACACCCTGCACGCCCAAATCCTTGTGCCATCAACTTACTTCCCCAATAGGCCCACGGAAATAAAAGGATAAACTTCTAGATTACTACTAAATTGTAAGAACCCGAAAAGTTTAAAGGTTGGGTATTGGGGAACTAAATCAACAAAACGCACAAAAAAAACTTACCATACGATAAAAGCGGAAGCTTCAACCTGGACATAGCGAGTCGAAAGGCAACGAAAAAAATGAATAGGGTTTTGAGGTCCTTTATAGTAGACTTACAAGGAACCCCAAATATAACATAGGCGTAACATAGGTAGTTATTGAGGCCACTATATAAAACCCTGAACTACAAGAGGGTTTATCAGGAACTGAAGACTTGATGCAGCGGCCTGCATGGAGAACCAGGTGCACACCTCCTCCTCAGACCAGATTCGGATTTCTGCATCGACGATGTGGAAGCTGCTATTAATGGCCTAATGTAGGGGCCTTCATAATTTCAATAGGGTTTTGGGGCCCATTATACTATAATTCATAATACGGAATCCCCAAAAAAATATAAGTCATGATTAAGGCCCCTACAGAAACTGCACTCAGGGTCCCTCTCCGCAGTCGGACTTGATGTAGGGGCCTCAATAACTAGACTAGGGTTTTTTGGGGCATATTAGACTATAACAATAATCAAGGAACCCCTCAGCATAGTATAGGCAATTATCTAGGCCCCTACATTACTAATTACTACTTTTCTCCAGCTCCCAACTGCTCTGGTCTTATGTTGAGTTTAGGAGAACATCTCACACCGCAGCACTACTCGTTGCTGCGACTGATAATGCTCGTGCAATCGGTATCCAAGAAAAAGGCCGCATCTGTGGAACCCTAAACCCTAAACCCCTAAACCCTACATCCTAAACCGTCTGAGCGTGCCACGTAGAGCTTGTCCCACCTCACCAGCCAGGGCAACAGGGGTATTGTGGAAGCTACAAGGCCGACCCCAAATAAATCCCAAATACTCAGCCTTTTTCGAATTTCCTTACCTTAATTTAACTGTAACTCCTTAAATCGGGTTTATATTATACAGGGTCTGAGCTTCGGTTTCTGGGACTGTCGCAGAAGTTGAGGTGCCTACGGCTCTTCTGTTGTAAAGTAGGGCTTGCGTTTTAAGCTGCGGGTCAGAACTTTTCATAACATCACACTCAGCAGCGACAACGTATCACAAGAAGCAAGCCGAACCCCCTTCAACCCAAACCTTTAATCCTAAAACCCTAAAGCCCTAAACCCTAAAACGTAAACCCTTAAACCTCAAAATCCTAAACCCGAAACCATCAGCTCCAAGGGACACCTCATAGCCTTACAGCAAGCCATCAACGGAGAAGCGTGAATAGAAAAAACCCATACCACCAAAACGGCTTGGGGTTGAGGGGTTACGGTTAGGGTTTTTAAGAAGCAAAACCATAACCAAACATCCTACACCTCTTCCCCCGAACCTGACAGCCCCTATAATCCGAACAGACATGAACCAACTCTCCAGGGCGGCTATCTCCCGCGTAGCCGGACCCTAGCCCAGCACAACAACAATGTACTGATGCTCCCTGCCCTAAACAACTCTAGATTCTAGACCCTCAACCCAAAGCCCCTAAGTCGTCTTACTCTAAACCTGAACCCAAAACCCGAGACCCTAAACCCAAAGCCCTTCTTTGCTGGGGGAGCGGCTCGCCAAATTTGTCGAGCGCACCACGAAGCTGTGCGAGGCTCTGCTCCACTTGCGCCTGCGGCTTACCACGCTTTTTCATGGGTAGTTACAAGTGGGGTTACAAGTAGGTTAAGTATCACTATAACCCATTCATGTCAAAAAAAAAGCATATATATATATATATATAAATACATGTTATGTATGTATATATATATATATATGCATGTTATGTGTATATATATATACACATATATACGTGGCTTAAAACCCCAGTTGTAACTACCCCTGAACCTCCAATTACGGCCACCTCAAGGACCCATGGAAACAGTAAGCATTCTTTGATATGAGGGTAACTTGAGCTACTCGCATGAGTATATGTTACATGGGTACACGAAAATCTCCTGCTTGGGGAGCCCACATAAATATAGTTGCCTTCAAGTGAACCCTAAAACCTCAAGCCGTAAGAAAGGATTGGACAAATTTTCCAGGGCAGGAACCTCGAGGCTTCCTTCATACGGTTGTTGATCTAATTGCTTCATCCCGGAATGACCTTCTTCACGGATTAAAAAGTAACTTTCGCGCACAAATTTACATATTTTTTCAAGCTAGAACCCTGATTCCTGTGAGGGTTCTGTTAAGGGTTCCTCTGAGTGTTCTTTCAAGGCTTGCTGGGAGGGTTCGTTTAAAACTACAAGGTTCTTTATAGGGTTCCTTTGAGGGTTCTTTAATGATTCGCACTTCATCAAAAACCCAATCCCTTGGACGGCCTTAAGCGGCTGTGCAGAAGCCCTGAAATTGTAGGAAAGGCTCCCAGAAACTCTCAATCAATTATGCCCTCGCAATAGCTTTGCGGCCTTAAGCATACCTTCTCAGCTTCGCTAAACATTCAACTCTTAAGACGGCCTTAACGATCCCTTTCCAACTCATTCTAGCTTTCACGCAACCCTGATTGTTTTTTGGAGGCCTGCCAGAAGCTCCTCTTAATTATGATGCCCGTACAAACTTGCCATGGAGAAGGTTGTGGCTTATAATTCGGGCTTGGGGTTGGGGATTCGGGAATTTGGGCTCCCAAGCCCCTCGTTGTCAAAGATGTTTCGCTCGGCACTGCAATGGCTGCTGCTATCACTGCTGCTGCTACTGCTGCTCGAGTCTGGTTCAGAACCAGATGCCAGCCAGCTGCGATTGCCGAAATATCGGCGACGCCACTGCCGGTGATTCTCAGATAGATCTGTGCTGTACAACGTAGCCAAATCTCCAGTGCCCCGAATAGAACTCGATCGAACATCTGAAAACACCTAGGCTAGCATCCCCTTCATGACACATAACGGAACCGTTGTCAATCTGTCCGGTTTAAACAGTTTTGTGAAGAGACCACAAAGTAAAGGTGTTTCTGGGTCGGGGGGACCGAGACACCAGTCCTTGATCACAGGTTTTTCCCAGTTGCTGCCGCCATACGGCAAAACATCCAAGCAGTATGTCATCTGCATCTTGAAACTTGGATCCGATAGTGACCACTGCTTTTGTGGCTTCGCTGGGTTGTTTGAACTCCACCACATGCCAGATGGCCCCATCAGGATCAAGCTGGCGATCGTTCTGGGCGGCTTCCTGGCAGACGGCAACGAGGTCGCTTAGCGAAGCGATGATCCGGTTGTCACCGTGGGACAAACAGCTGCTGATCCAATTCCGCACCCTGGCGAATATGCCGTCTATCAAACCTTTGCCAGGCTTCTCGGAGAAAAAATTTACCTTCAAGGGGCACCTGTAGCGGCAGAAAAGTTCTCGTGTCAGATAGCAGACATGCTCATAGCTGCGGAAGTGGCCCCCGCATTCATGCCAGACAGACATAAACTTGATCTTTCAGGGCTTGGAAAGTGTACTTACACGGTTTAGGGCTTTCGGGTTTCAGGTTTAGGGCTGCGTGTTCGGGTTGCGGAACACTTAGAGCAGGGCTTTCGAGATATTCTATACGCCCGGTACTCGTTACTAGTACTAAGTCTCCCTGTACCAATTGGGACCTCTGTGTCCTACTGCGTACCCTACACCCTAAACCCTGAACACCTCAATCTTGGGATTACACCTTGAGGCTTTAGGGTTGCGTTCAAAACTGAAAGCCTGAACTCAATACCGTTTATCTCGCCCTGAATAAATCCGAAACCCAACCTGAACTGAAACCTAAACTCTTAGAAGTTCAGCCCTAAACTACCTGTAGTTCCCATATACGACACGAAAAGCGGGGTTCCTATACATGTACTTTCTGGCCTAAGTATATACTATGTATGTAACCCTAAACTCAGAGCTCCTCAGCCGGGGTTTAGGGTTCAGGGTCGCCTTAAACAATCCCTGGCAAAACGCATAGTATCTATGTTAGGGTTTAGGGTTTAAGGTTTAGGGCCTTTACTTAATGCTTAGGGGTTTAGGGCTTACAGGCCTTTACCCTTGAGGGTTTAGGCTTGAAGGAATTAGGGCCCCAAACATTTGTACGGTTGTTACTAGGATTGTTCGTGCTACTCAGGGCCTATCTCCTGGGGACGGGTTGACCTACGGTTTGAAAGTTTAAGGTTTTCGGGTCTATAGGGGTAAGACCCTACACGACATCCGAAACCCCAAAACACAACGAAGCCCCACACCGAACCACGATCCGACGCCCGAGCCCTCCCTCTTGTGCCTGGCGGTCCGAAAGGGCTTTCCAATGGCTGGCCTTCTGTAAGATTAGGGTTTAGGGTTTAGGGTTTTGTAGCGGGTTTGCTCTTGTCTGTTTTTAGGTTACATGGCTCCTGTGGTCGATTCTTCAGGTGTCAAGGTTAAACAGGTTATATAAACACCTTCAAGGCCAATCTGTCTGTGCTGTACACCATGACATGAAACAAACTGCCCATTCCTGATCTTTCTTTCCGCGCCTAAGAACCTTACTAGAACCCCTAATCCTTATCAGTCCCAAAAAGACCAACAACCCCTGAACCCCTAAACCCTTATAAGCCCCCAAAGAGACCCTAAACGGGGTGGAAGGGTTGAGCACAACCTATGGCTCTAAGGGTCCAAGTACCTAATAATCATATACTCTCCCAAATATTAACCTAGAAACTACCATCCGCAACCAAAGCACCTTATTATAGGGTCCTTTGGACCCCTAGGGTGATGCCCAAACCGGATTTACGGCCCAGAGTTTAGGGTAAACCGGCATGATGACTCAACCAAAGCGTCAGGGAAAACAAGAACGCGCGAATGCCCACAACCCATAGCGCAGTCCAAAAACCGACAACAACAAGTGTTGATACAATGCTTCCTGGACGCCTCCATGGCAGCCTTGCATGGTCCAGGTACACCACCGATCCCTGTGCCTAAACTCCAAACCGCAAGCCCCCTGTGCCCTACACCCCCTGGTTAATGCCTACAGGTCCCAAGACCCCACCAACGAACCCTAAAGCCCCAAGGCCCCACCACTGCAACACCCTGATATAGAAGCCTGCCAAACACTAAAGCCTAAACCCTAAACCCCTGAACCCTAAACCCTAAAACCCTAAACCCTACTTACCCAACATTATTCCTTACAGTCGCCTTACAGCTCCGTAGGTGTCATACACCCGGGCCCCAAAACCCTGATTCCTACCTGGAGGGTCGGGGGACCTAGTAAATGCTTATTTTATGGACTTATAACCCCAATTAGGGTTCCCTTTAGAGTACTTATAATTCCTACCTGCGACCCCAAACCCTACAAAGTAGTAGGTCATGATCCCTGAATTAGAGGGTCGAACCCTTGAAACGGTAGGTTTTTGGATCAGGTAGGGCCCCTTTTTTTGGTCAGTGCCTGTGCATCTTCGGAGCGTTTCGCACCGTCTTGAGCCTCTCGCAGGAAACCTTCTGCTTGTCCTCGGTTCAGGTCAAGACAGGCTCAAACGCCATGATTATTGGTATGGCCGTCTCAAGTGTTTTTGCTTGCAGGAGGAGGGCGGGGTGCGTCTACGAGGGGGCTTGCTTTGGGGTCTGCAGGAGGGTGAAGGGCTTCCGGGGTGCAGGTCTGACGGTGGGTTCGGAATCCGGCATTGGCGTCAGATTCCAGCACGGTCGTTGGGCCGTCGGGGGGCTGTGCATTATATGTCCAACGTGAAGGGGTGCTATCGTTCCGCTCAACCTTACACAAACTTTGTTAACAAGTTAACACGACCTACCCTCGAAGAACAGCTGCAACTGTTTCGGATGCGTGCCCGTGCTGCAGCTGAATATAGCCAACGTTGGGCATAACCTCACAGTAAGGGTGCCCCGTTGTCTATTTTTACTGTTCCATTGTCGTTACTGCTGGTGATGACGCATCGGCTCCTTATCGACCAAGGCATGTTCAGTTCCTTCGCTTCTTGGGTCTGTAGGGGTTTCGGGTCCACCCAGTTCTCTCCGGGACCGTCCTACAGCGATAGGGCTTGTGATAAGGAAAACGCAGCGTGGCTCCTTGCATGCTTGCTTGCCGGATATTTATAAAGAGCCGATGACGCAGGGAGACTGTAACGGTGTCCGCTTCCTGCCTTGACAGCACTAGTTCCCGATTGGGTTGAAGGGCATCGGGAAGCCAGGCCCCACTCTTTCTCTCGGGATGCCGATGAGCGAGACGACAAGGGTATCTGAAACCGTCTCCATGACTGCCTTCGGAAGACTTCAAGATTAAAATAAACGTACTTAAGCCCTAAAATTCCAGGGCGGGGGTTTTGGCACTTTGCAACGACCAGGCTCTCAATTTCCGAGAAGACGCACAGTCGAAGAGCCGGAACATGCAGATTGCCGTAAAGCCTAAACCCTAAAACCTAAACCCCTAAACCCTACCCTAAACCCTAAACCCTAAACCCTAATCCCTAAAACCAAATTTTAAAGGGGTTTAGGTTTAGAGAGCTTCAACCCGAAGGCCGGAATCCGGCTTCTGGTTCTGGAACTCCCCTTTTAAGGACACTTAGACCCGAAGAAGAGGGAAGAGGCTGATCCATAAGTCTCATAGGATCTTGAATACTTGGTGTTGAATGGGGCTTTAGGCATGGGGGTGTATGCTAGCTATTTCATGAACCATACGTGTATGCCACTACGTTATGAACCATCACGAAATCTTCAGACCTCTCTCTTCGGGGCTTTCTTGGGCCCTTTAGGGTTTAGCCTTTGGGGTCTCGGGTCGACTTCACGCCGCGCGTCCGATGAGGGTCTTCAGCTCTTCCAGGAGGTCTTGCACACGGTGGGCGCGTGCACGGTGCACGACCTGCACGACGGGCGGGGGGGCCTTCGAGCTGGCAGCTGGGTTTAAGAAGGTTAAGGCTAAGGGCTTCCTTCAAAGACAGCTATTAACGGCTCCTCTAAGGGTTTCTGTAAGGGATCTAAAGGTTTAGGCTGAGGGTTTCAGGTCTCCAGAAAGGCACCCAGCAACCTTCAGCATTAGGAAACCATTGTAGGTTTGTTTATTCACCCGATGGAGCTGAGAGCTTCAAACCTTAGAAAATCGCCATTGCCCGTGATTCCTATTAGGGCTTAAATTGGGCGGCCTAATAAAGGCCGATAAAAGTAGCGGCCGATAAGTGACAGGTTTTGGCCTAGTCACTGGTCGGATGGGCACTGCTCAAAACTGCAACGGAAAATGTTTTGGGATCCGTGTCTCAACGGTTTTTGGTTGTTGTTGGTAGGATTGTCCGGCTCGCGAAATGGAGGAGGTGTAGGTGTTCCGGTGGTAAATAGCTTTTGAAATCGATGATGTGGCGGTGAGGGTGGGCTTTTGGTTTGTCCGAAGACCTTGGATTTGACAAAACGCGCCAAAATTCCGGCCTCTGGCCTGCCGTCGAAAACTTTGAAGTGGTATATTCACGCAAAAAACATCAGGACACCCGCCAAAGCCCTAGCAGCAACTCCTGCATGCACCCAAACGACATCCAGTGCAAACCCTTCAGTTTGTTCTTTGGTGCATCATGCAACACTTGATGCCTACTGAAGGGCTACCGTACCCTATCATGATAATTATCCTCCCTAAACTCTTCATCCTACGAATCCTAAAACCCTCATCCCTAGTTCTAACCCTCTAACACCAGTAGACAACCCTCTTATAGACACTGACAGATTTCCCTTGAACACCGGAACCTGATACCAAGACCCTGAAACCTTAGAAGATGGAGCCCATGGAAACACTTGAACCCTCAATTAAACCCAACAACTCTAAACCCTAATCCCTGACAGAAGAAAAAACTTCGCATTATCCCCTAACCTCCTAATCCTAGACTCCGAAACCCTAAAGGGGTTTTAGTGGTGTTGGGTTTTAGGGTTTAGAGCCCTAAAACCTGATGACCCAAAACCCCACAAAACCCTATCCCCCCTAAAACCTACGAGTAGTATCCCTAAACCTCATAAAACACGAGTTACCCTAAACCCCATAGAACCCTATTAACCACAAACCCATAAACCAAGTAACCTAGTAGCCCGAAAACCCATGCCAAAGGCCATATAATCCTAAACCCCAGGAAGATCCTGCTAAACCCGAACCATAAACTTCCCGAAACCCTAGTAACCTGAAACCAAAGACAACCCTTTTCACACTGAACCCAAAACCCTCTTAACCCTAAACCGATAAACCTCTAACCCTCAACTCCATAAAACGCTTATTCACCGTTATTAAACCTAAACCCAACAAAACCCTAAAACCTTGATCGCCATCCCCTAAAACCTCCTAAATCCAAAGTCCTATGCCCGTAGAACCTACGAAAAATAAACCTGTGAACCCCACAAAACCGGAATCCTTGTTCACTGATCGCCCGCCTCGCTCTCCCCACCGGCAGCAAAAAGGCCCTCCAGGAGACCCGGTAGCTTTGTCTCGGCCTGGGATTTGGGTTTGGGGTTTAAGGTTCAAAGATCAGGTTGTTTTTGTAAAGGCTGTACTAGTTATAAGGCATCTTTAGGGGTGTAGCGGTTTTGTAAGAGTTTCATCGTCGCTCATAGAGCTTGGTAGGTGGCTGAATGGCCTTCTGAAGGCTTTTGAGGGACTTTCTAAAGCCTTTACAATCAAGGCTTCGTTCGGGAACCCAAGAAGGACCTTAGTTGAACCGACACTCTAAACCGCAAACCCTAAACCCTAAACCCAAACCCCGAACCCTAAACCCTAAGAGGCACTGGAGCTCCTCATTTTCGACATTTAATGTAGAGGCCTTCATAATTACCTACATTATTTATCTATTTATTTATGTATTTTTTTTTGGAGGGGGGGGGGCTCCTTATTATAATGATAGCATAATGTGCAGCAAAATCCTATTCGAATGATTGAGCCCTATATCGAGCCTGAAGTCCTGTTACCCGGAAGACACCAGCACACCCTAAAGCGGGGGGTTTTGAACGCATGGGTTGTGATAACAAGGAACCCTATGGAATAATCTTGCTGAGTTTATTTCGGCTTCTAAATTACATGAACCTTGCAATCCTCCATCATATCTCCCAAAAGGATCACCTCATCCGAAAAAAACGGGCTCATGGATACTTCGAAATTTTCAGCAAGGAGATTCCAAACACCAAACGCCACTGAACCCTGAACACTACACTTCACTGAAGCAAAGACTGACCCTACACCTCAAACCCTCCGTTCAGTCCCTCCCCTCGGCCTGCGACACCACGAAATCCAGCAAAGTGCCCTGGCCTTGCCGCGCAGTGCAAGGGTTTTAGGCTTACGTAGGATTTTGCTCGGGCTGTTATAGCAGCTATCAAAGGTCTACAAGGCTGTTAGCAGGGCGGAATAAATACCCGAGTTTCACGGCTCACCAGTAGCTAACTGTCAACCGAGAGCAAGCGTTGTAGTACCTCTTCTATAGGAGCTCCCTAAGGGAGCACTTATAAAGCACCAATAACCCTAAACCCCATACACCCTAAACCTAAACCCCTCATGGAACCCTAAACCCCCAAAACCCCCTCAACCCCCAACCCATGAAGCCCTAAACCCCCCCAAAAAAAGCGGGGCGCCTTTTCCCCGGAGCTTCGCCAGCTTCGGTAGCGCCTCCAGGTCGAAGCCGTCTGCGCGACCCCTTGAGGTGCCGCCATTCCTGGGACTCGTTTTATGGTTTAGGGTTTAGGGTGTTAATCTTTTCGAGAGCCAACGCCGTGGTGGCGTGCAGGGCGTGCTGCTCTTATTTTTTCAGGGGGGTTTAGGGGTTAGCGCGTGTTTTTTTTCTCAGGGGGCGCCTTAGTACCTTGAATGGGGTTCCTAAGGATTCTGTAAGGGTTGCTTTTTTTTTTGAAAGGGAGACCTTAACTGCTAGAGTGGGTTTTGGGGCTCATTGACAATATCATATTATAAATATGTTAAGGAACTCTAAGGAATATGGAATTCTAAGGAACAAGGAACTCGAAGGAATAAGGAACTCTAAGGAATAGGGAACTCTAAGGAATAAGGAACTCTAAGGAAAAACAACTCTAAGGAATAAGATTGGTCATGGCTTTAGGCGTCTAAAATTCGTTTTGGGAGCGTCCTTTCCGGAGGGTTTAGGTTTAGGGCTTTATAGGGCTTGGGAGCTTTAAGGGGTGAAAGCTCCACATATGGTTTCTTGAAGGAAATTCTTTTGACGTTCCTTTTCAAGGGTTTCCGCTTTAGGGGCTTCTGTAAAGGTTCCAATTGAAGGGTTCCTTTAAGTTTAAGGCTTCCTCATGGTCGTCGGGTTCATGGTTGAGGGTTCAGACGCTTCGGGTTGCGGGATTTTAAGTTGTTGTGTTCGTGGCTGTTTGCTCTGTCGTTTTGAGGGCCTATAGGAGGTGCTTAGAAGGTGTTTAAAAGGTTCACCTTTCCGACAAACCCGTCGAAGAAGAGCTCGGTCTTCCACAAGAAAACATCCTGAACTGAAGATCCGAACTCCCAGCCCCATTCTCAGAGCCCTTTCCAAACCAATGCCCTCCATACAAAAAACCGATCAGCACCCCCTAAACCCTAAACCCTAAACCTGAAACCCTAAACCCTGAACCCTAAACCTTAAACGCTAAACCCTGAACCCGAAACCCT